CCCCTGCATCTGCCTGCAGTGCGTGGCCACAGGCACCCTGGGCAGCATCAGCGAGGCTGCGGCGGGGAGCGTGGCTTGGAGAAGGGCAGATTCACCCATCTCATGCCAAGGTGGGCATGGTCAGAGGAGCTTCGCTTTCAGGTGTGCTGATGTAGAGACTGGAGGCAAGCGCTTGAGCCCCTCTGAGTGGCTTTGCCCAGGCCCCCTGCCCCAGCCAAGTCCAGGTGCTCCCGGGGCAGCACCAGCCTCCCCTGTTTCATCAAATTAAACCCTGGATTTAAAATATGCTATTAGCAGCCCCGGCAAGGCGTGGGCATCGGTGGGGCTGTGGAGCAGAGGGCCCCGGTGCCAGGAGGGGTGGCTGCGTTTGGGCAGGCAGCAAGCCCTGCCTGCCCGCGCCGGCGAAGGGAAGCATGGCTGGGGGCACTTTGTCTCAAAGCATGCAAATAGCTTGTAAAACGTTAATTAAGGATCATCGAGCATTTAATCATCCGTTACGGCCCAACTGTTTTATAGCCCTTGGGTGCACGCGCCCCGTGCCCAGCTGCTGTGGCACGCTGGCTGTGAATTGCCGGGCTCTGCTTATCCCTGCCAGACCAACGCTCGGTGTCACCAGCAAATGAACCCCGTCGGGCCGGCGGCGAGGGCAGGTTTCGGCCAGGCAGCGGGGCCAGCGGGAAGCGGTGGAGCCGGCCACGTACCTGCAGCAGGGCCGCGGGGAACGGTCCCTTAATGAAAGCACCAGATAACTTGTGGGGCCACCCAGTAGCACCGTGCTAGGGAGCTGGTGAGGTGGTGGCATGGCCAGGCTGCAGCTCCCAGGGTTTCCAGGCAAAAAGCTGCCTGAAGTAATGAGAGGAGCAGGGAAGGAGACAGGGACAGGCGGTGGGGCTGAGCCCGTGTCTGTGGTTTTGTCTGCCTGAGAGGAAGGTGGATAAAGGCGAGAGCTATGGGGCATTGCTGGGGGCACGGCCCCCCAGACCCTGGTTGTAGGGGATACAGGTGGTAACGGCGTGTGAGGCAGCTGGAGGCTGCCCACCACAACGGGCGCCACAGCAGAAAGAGCCAGGTGTGCCCGTGGAGGGACGCCCTGAGCTCCCCTGGCACTGGGGGTGCCTGGGGTGGGTGGTGCTGGAGAGCCCAGCGGAGCACCCATTCCCCAGCTGGAACCACAGCCTAACTGCCGGCAGTACCCAGTGCCAACACATCTGCCCCGGGCAGCTGCAGCGTGGGCTGCCCCGAGGCCACCAGGCGAAGGATTGGGGTGTCACAGCAGCTGCACTGGAGCGGTGACCAGCAGGGTGGCTGGCTGTGTCCCATGGCCGTGGACCACAATGAGAGCTGCAAGAAGAGATGACACTAGGGTGAGCCGCAGGTACGGGATGTGTGAGGTCTGGCTGTGGTGGCAGCTGTGGGCACCTCCGCTCACAGTGCCTGCGCAGTGCTGTGGGTCCGCAGCAGGTCCGGCCGGCTGTGTCCTCGCGCAGCTCCTGTCATGGTGACCCCCCCCCCCGGGACGACAGGCATCGTGTGTCTACCCCAAATCCCGCATGGGATTTGCCCCAGGATGAGTTGCGTGGCCAGGATCTGCTGTCACCTGCCCCAGCTGGACAAGACCAGCATGGGTAGGGTAAAATGTGGTTGAAAACCAAACCGTGTGCTCTGCGAATGGGCCTAAAGCGCTCTGTCGCCCGTTCTCCGTGGCTCCCGCCTGTCCTTCCCTCGCAGACGCTGTGTGGGGCAGGTTGTTCCCTCTGTGTAGAGCAACCCCCCGCCCAGCCCTGGCGTGAGCCCCAGCCCGGGGGCTGCAGGGGGGCCGAAGAGCCCCTCAGTGGGGGTTTGGTTGCGGGGCCAGGCAGCAGGCACTGGGAGAAAAGCCTGCCCTGC